ATAGGACCATGGGTTACCATGAGACCAAACAAGTCTAGCTTGGAAGATAGATGGCCAGAATGCTCCTTAAGGACAAGGCTGGTGAGACGTCATATCATGTACTTGGGACATGTCAGGAGAGACCAGTCCCTGGAGAAGGACCTCATGCTTGGTAGAGTCGAGAGGGAGTCAAGGAGAGGAGGCCCTTGATTAGGTGAATGAACACGGAAGCTGTAACCATGGGCTCAGGGGTAGGAACCATGGTGAGGATGGCGCAGGGCCAGGCAGGGTTTCCTTCCATTGTGCATGGGGTCGCTATGGGTCGGAAGCAACTAGATGACACACAACAACAAAAAGTCTTTATGGGAGCAGATCAGCAGGTCTTTTCTCCTTCAGAGGAACCCGGGTGGAGTAGTGGGTTACAGGTGGGGCTGCTAACTGAACTGTCAGCAGTTCAAAACCACCAGCCACTCCTCAGGAGGCAGGTGGAGCTTTCTACTTCCATCAAGAGTTACAGTCTAGGGAAGCCACAGGGGGCGGCTCTACCTTGTCCTGCAGGGTCCATACGAGTTGGAATGGGCCCAATGGCAGGGAGTCTGGTTTCGTTTGTTGTTTTCTCTTGCAGCGTCGATGGTGAGGGTTGAACCTCCAAGCTTTGGGTTAGCAAAGGAACGCTTAAAGGGGCTCCTTGTCAGGCAGACTGAGGACGCCAGACTCAGCAGCTTGAAACGACACAGACGTGCCACCTTCTAGCTCTGCAGGTCCACTGCCTCACTGCCAGCCCTCAGCGATCCCCTAGGATAGAGAAGAGCTGCCTCTGTGGGTTTTGAGGCCATACAACTACAGGATCAGGAAGCCCAAACCCCAACCGGATGGCCATAGAGTCGATGATGACTCATAGCGAGCCTACGGGGCAGCGCAGGACTGTGAGTGTCCGAGGCTGTCACTCTTTATGGGAATAGAAAGCCTCCTCTTTCTCCCAGTGTAGAGGCTGGTGAGTTTGAACCGCTGACCCTGTGGCTACCAGCTTATTGCGTTGCCACTAAACCACCAGGGCTTCTCGGCAGCTTAGCCATCTATGATTAGGGTGTCGGCGGATCCCTGTCCTTGCCTTTTCTGGCTTTCAGAGATGGCCCAGGGAGCCCTGGGGTCACCGTGGCCTAAGCGTTGGGCTGCTAACTGCAAGTCTGGTGGTTCAATTCTACCAGCCACTCCATGGGAGAAGGACGGGGCTGTTTGCTCCCCGGAAGGTTGACCATGGGAAACCCTCTATAGGATTGCTCTGCATCAGGATCCATCTGAGGAGAATGGGTTGGGCTTGGTGGTGATGTTGTGTCCACTCAATCATCCAGGGCAGCCCTCATTTGCAATCCTTCACCTGCTCTTGGGGAGAAAACTCAACCCCCCCAACAAACAACAACAGCAACAAAACTCACTGCCATCAAATCAGTTCTGACGTTTAGTGACCCTAGAGGGCAGGGTAGAACTGCCCCGTTGGGTTTCTGAGGCTGTCCATCTTGATGAGAGCAGCCAGCCTCATCTTTCTTCCCCAGAGCGGCCGCCGGGTTCCAACTGCGGACCTGGCAGTTATCAGCCCAATGTACAAGCCACTAAGCCACCGGGGGAAGGAGGCTCACCGCTCACTCACGTCAATTCTGACTCAGAGCGACTCTATAGGGCAGGGTAGAACTGCCACTGTGAGTTTCTGAGACTGTAACTTTACGGGAGTAGAAAGCCTCATCTTTCTCTTGTGGAGCAGCTGGTGGGTTCGAACCGCTCACTTTGCTGAGCAGCAAATTGAGCCACCAGGGGAGAAATACTCACTGCTCACTGCCGTCGAATTGTAAGCCAAGTTGTTTGACTTCGTGTGGTTAGAAAAACCTCCCTTACAAAATGCAGTTAGCCTAAGGTCTTTTACTGAATGCAGTCTCTGGGGAAACCCACTGCAGGGCTCAAAGGCAGACAGGTTGGATGTGAAGGTCATGTGGAAGGCCAGATCATACTCACTGCTCATCATGAAAAGCTGGGCCCTGCTCTCTGGTTAGTCCACAAAGACGTCCTGGTTACCGTGACCCTGAGGTTAGCCCTCCAGGTGGGCTTTCCAAAGCCAAAGGAATAGATCCCTACATGTTTTGATTTCACACAGGACACCACCAAGACCCTCTGGTCTGCAACACGGTCGTCTCCTTGCCGGGTTACCTTCTAACTGAAAACCTTTCCTCCTCCCTCTGCTTGGAGGAGGGAGACTGGCTGCACTACTTCCTGGTGAGATACCTGTATTTCAGGTGGCAGAATCAATTCTCATGGAAACCTTATTAAAAAACCCAAACCTCAGCCTGACGGCCATAGAGTCCATGCCAACTCATAGCGAGCCTACAGGGCAGGGCAGAACTGGGAGTTCCCGAGAGTTGTAACTCTTTATGGGAATAGAAAGCCTCGTCTTTCTTCCACAAAGCAGCTGGCGGTTTCGAACTGACCTTGTGGCTAGTTAAGTCTTAAACTGGTCAAAGACATGCTGCCGGTGAGGGAGGGCACCCTCAAGGGGACATTACTGTGTCCACGGGGGTCACAGAAATGCGCTCACTGGGATGGGAATGTGGCCTTGTTTGGAAATAGGGCCTTTGAAGGCGGCATCAGCCGGGCTGGCACGAGGTCATGCTGGAGCAGGGTGGCATCTGATCCTGTCAGATGGTGACGAGACTCAGGGGCGCATAGAGGGCAGGCGGCCGTGTGACCAGGGAGGCAGAGACTGGAGGGAAGTTGGCCACAAGCCAAGGAAGGCCCATTAGAAGCTGAAAGAGACAGGAGGGGTCGTCCCACTCTTGAGCCTTAAGGAGCATGGCTCGGAGGACACCCTCAAGTTGGCCTCCAAGCTTCCAGAACTGCTAGGAAGTGGTTTTAAGTACCACGCTGGGACACTTGTTAAGGAGTCCTGATGGTGTAGTGGTTTAAGATCAGCGGTTCAAACCCACCTGCTGCTCAAGAGATAGGGAAAGAGAGAGAGAGAAAGCTAGAGCCAGACAAAGGAGACTCCCTGCTCTCATGAAGACAGGCAGCCTCGGAAGCCCACCGGGGATCCCTACTCTGTCTAGAAGGTCATTGTGTTACTCTTGGTTCTATAGCGGTGACTTTGAGACAAGACCGACAGTCTCAGAAACCCACAGGGTCAGTTCTATTCTGTGCTGTGAGATCAGCTGGGCGGCAGCTGAGTTTGAGCTGGGGTTTTGTGATACTTGTTACAGCGGCCCTCAGATACTAATCCCATTACCAGTTGCCAGCAAATCCTGGTGACTCCCACGTGCCCCCAGGTTGTTTTTCAATCACCAGGCCTTTCTTCCCCGGCACTTTTGGATGGAATGGAACCTGCAGCCTCTTGGCTAGGGTTAACCGCTTGCACCTTGGGACTCCAGGAGACACATCCATGGAGTGAAACATCAGCTCCACCAGGGGACCCGAGTTCCTCCCTCCTTTCCCCTCTGCCCTGGCACCCGTGGGCCCAGCCAGCATGTCACAGTGCTCAGATGCTGCCGGCCGCGTCTGTCTTTGGTTTCTGTCTACCGCTTTTCCCCTGCACTGCCCCCCACCAGGCCTGCAGTGGGACTCACATGGGCCAGGCTATTCTGGGTGTCCGCGCCTTGCGGTACAGCTTCCGTGGGGGCTTGCAATGCTGCCTCACTTCCGTCTTTGTCTGGTTGGGCTATTTATTCCCCTGGGCCCCAGCCATGCCGGCTTCTGCCAGCAGGAAGTCTAGAGCATGGGGCCTCCCTGCCCTGTGCCTGCTGGGACCCCTAATAGCAGGCAGGGCCTGAGGGGCTCTGTGGGGCTGTTGCTACAGAGCAGAGAGGAGGGAGGGTCCTGGGAACCTGCCCGCAAACCTGTCTATTCTAAGTCATCTCTGAAGGTTAAAAGAAGCTCCCTGAAAGCTCAGGGTTCCGGGTTGAGCAGGTGACACCCGCTACCCTGGGTGGCACGCCACAATCCCGAGGCAAGAAAACATGATCTGTGAAGCCACTTAGGCAGGGACATGCAGCAGATGGAAGAGAGGCTGAGGCTTGCTCCCCCTGGCCCCCCTTGAGGCTGATCTGGGTGGGCAGTGCAGGTAGGGGTGGTGGGTGACCTTGGAACCAGAGTGCTGGGGGTGGGGTGGGGCTTCAAGGATTGAATCTGCAGTCAACTTGCATGCTTCTACACTGTGTGGCTTCGAGCCAGTTACTTGACCTCTCTGTGGCTCGCAGGCTTTTTGAGTGAGAGCCCAGGCGGGCCGCGTCCATGGTGGTGTTGGGTGCTGTCCTGTCCATGTCAACTCACAGTGTCACGACAACCCCATGTGACAGGGTCGGCCTGCCCTAGCGGTGACCTTGAGAGGGGGAGATCTCCAGGGTCTCCCTGCTGGGGAGCCACAGGGGGGTCGAGCCAGGGTGACGGTGATGGGAGTCTGAATGCCCGCCGGTCACTAACCCAAAGCTTGGTTGGACTCCACTGAGATGCGCCTGGGAGGAGAGGCCTGGACACCTACTGCCCTGCCAAGCAGCCACTTCTGGGAGCACATTTCTGACACCTGCAGGGTTGCCAGGCACCCACCCGCTGTGGGTTTCCCAGAGCTTAACTGGGGAGCGGAGTGGAAAGCCCAGTCTTTCTCCCTTCGGGCTGCTGGTGGTTTCAAACCTTGGACCAGCAGGAAGCGGAAATACTGAGCCGACCAGGGCCCTTTGAGTAGGACCAGGAACTCTGTTACTTTTATTCGCCAGCCTGAGCTACTTTGGGGTCTTGGAATCCACTTTTCCCTTCACCTCTGTGACTCTGTCTTGGGTCGGTGCTATGAGAGGGGCCCTCTTTGGGGCATGTCCTTCTCCCCCATCCCCCTCCCCCAGCACTGGGCATACGGCCTGGCACACAGTCAATGCTCGGTTAATGGCTACTGGAGGTGCAAAGTCATGGGCACTGGCCCCTCCCCACAGCGAACACGGGTTTCTGAGCAGCCACGGTGATCTCGACCCCCAGAAAGGCAAGGGACACGCATAGCAAAACAGACTGGTCATTATTGGACAGGTGGGCGTGGCGGTGGTTCCGGAATGAGGGCGGCCCTGCCCCGTCTTGGGGGCAAGTGGAGCTTGGTCTGCTGCACAATGGGCTCTGGAGGCCGGTCCTGGGGGCGGCCGCCTCCTCGGCCCCAGGCCCCCTCCTTCTGCACGTGCACTGGGGGCGCAGCAGGACGGAACGCGTGGGTGAAGGGGGGCCAATCACAACAGCTCCCGCCTGCTGGCTGTTTTGTTGACTTTGGACAAGCCTTCCCGGAACCCGGTGTCCGTCATCCTGGGAACAGACCGTCAGGGGGTCGGTCCAGCAGCTCCAGAGGTGGCAGGTAGGCGCCCACCCTGCCCCAGAGCTGCACGAACGCACCCCCTACCCACGCCGCCAGCAGTGCGACCCCGTCCACTTTACACGGAGACTCTACCAACACTGTCCCCGCCCCCCTCTCTGAGCTGGCTGCCCCCCGCCCACTCCACCCCTGGACTGTACCAACCCTGCTCCCACCAGCTACACACACCGAGCCCCTCCCAGAGCTGCTGGATTCCGCCCAGCCCTTTGTCCCCAGAGCTAGAACGGGCTCTAGACCTGCACGACCCCGCCTCCTTTATCCCCCAGCTGCACTACAGCCCCCCTCAAGAGTCGCATGACCCCACCCCTGCACCCCCAAACGGCGCCGACCCCCACCTCCCCCCGCCCTCTGCCCCCAGAGATGCTCTGACCTCTTGACCTGCTCCCAGAGCCACCTTGGCCCAACCCCACATGCTGGAAACGCCCCAGGCCCCGCCCATGTGGGGGCGGTAAGAGAAGGCCCCGCCCCCTCCCCCGGGCCATGCACTCACACTTGCTCCATCTGCACGTCCTCCTCATCCTCCTGAGGCAGCTGCAGGTACGGGTTATCCCCTGAGGGCTGGAACTTGTAGCCCGTGAGCACGAAGAAGGCCAGCGTGGAGCCCTCCACCAGCAGCTGGGGACCAGGGCAGGGCAGCGTCAGGCACCCACTCTGGCCTGCGCCCCACCCGGCTGCCCCTGGGCTGCCCATCACCTGGCATAGCCACTGCCACTGGAAGGGCACGCCCACTCGCAGCAGGATGGCGATGATGCGTGTGAAGTAGACGTAGCAGATGACCTGTGGGCAGAGGGTGGGATCCCCGGGATGGCGGGACCCCTGATTGAGGGACTGCCTCAAACCATAGGACCCCAAACCATGGAACCACTGATTGAGGGGGCCCCAGACTGTGGGGCTCCCCAGACCATAAAACCCTGTTCTAGACCACCAGCCATGGGACCTATCGGATTGTGGGGATGCCCCCCCAACCGTGGGGCTGAAGGTGGAGTGGGGAGGAGGGCAGAGGGCAGGGTGGATGAAGGCGCTGGCATGGACACTGTCTCCTCCCCACCACTGGGCAAGCAGGAGGAAGCTTATACCATGACGTAGTAATGCCGGAACAATTTCAGCTTGGCCAGGTTCACTGCCACTGAGGGAGGGAGGGAAAGAAACTGAGTCCATGACAAAGGAACAGGGACAGCTGGGCGTGTCAGGGGCAGGAAGTTTACAGGGAGGCGCTCGGGGAGCAGAGGGGCAGTAAGGTGTGGCTATACGTTGCAGACAAGGGGGCTGAGGTGACCATGGGATGGAGGTGTCTATGAAGGGGGTGAGATGGAGGTGTCCGCAATGGATGGAGGTGTCGTGGATAAGACATCTCCATGGAGATTTCTTTGAGATAATTGATGGACAGTCAGAATGGGGCTGGACAATCATGACTGGAACAATGGGTGGACAGTGGGCTGAGAGATGGGCATCACAGAGGGATGGGCAATGGAAGTGCCCATGGGATGGAGGTGTCCATCGGTGGAGGTGTCCATGGGAGGGACGTGTCTATGAAGGGGGGTGGGATGGAGGTGACCATGGATAGGGTGAGATGGCAGTGTCCACAGGAGAGATGGAGGTGTTGGGGGTGGAGGTGTCAGGGTCGGGGGGGCGGGGGGCAGAGGTGTAGGGCCTCACCCTTCCCGTCAGTGCCGGATGCGTCCTGGAGGTGCCGGATGGACCTGGGGGACAGAGGGCATGGTCAGTCCCGCCCCTGCCACGCCCCAGGGTGGAGTCCTGGCTGGCCGCTGCCCCCAGGCCTCACCAGACCACAGGGAAGAGGATGGCGCCACAGCAGATGAGGTCCACCAGGAAGAGGGTCTCCTTCCAGAGGCCGTAGTCGCTGGCGCCCTCCTCTCGGGACTCGATGACGATGTAGGCCACGTTGGCCAGGACCTGCAGAGCCAGGGCTGTGGTGACCCTGCTCGGGGGATGTCCACCCAGCCGCCCACCGGGGTCCCCGCCACGCACCTGCAGGGGGATGACGATGCCGAAGATCTTCTTCTCCTTATCCGACAGGACGTACTTGACGAAGGCCCAGCCAGAGCCGATCAGGGCGATGGTGATGAAGAGGAGGGCGCCCTTCAGCCTGAGGGGGCAGTGGGAGGAGATGAGACCCCCTGTTCCCTGTCCCCCCTCCCCAGCCCTATCTGCCCACCTTCCCAGTGGGGAGGGCACTCACAGGTGGGTGATGTAGTGCATGACAGCGAGGCCTTCGATGGGGTGGCCCTGGCTATTGATGAAGTAGTAGTTGATCTGCAGGCAGAGGGACAGGTGGACAGTCAGAAGGATGGTCACCCAGGAGTGTGCACAATCACGGACAGGTGGGTGGGTGAAACAGAGGCTATAACCAGAGTGAAGGCCAAGGGGCTGAACGACAGACAGTCGTGGCCGTAACAATGGGTGGACCATGGGTGGGAGTTAGATGGCAGAATGGCTGGACAACAGTGGTGGAATGAAGCTTAATTTAGCTCTTTTGTCCAAGTCTCTTTAAATCCCCGCCCCCCCCCCAGTGATTGAGTGGGATTGAGAGATTGGGATTATGCAAACAGAGTGTGGGTAACATTAATAAGAAAGGAGTGGTCCGTTTTCACTACCACCTCACGAGCTAGAAGGATCCCTGAGGACCCTGGAAGAGCTTGTTGGAGATCTGTCTGAAGGCACGGAGACTCCAGGGGGCAGCACTGAGAAGGAATGCTAACGCTTCCTATCTGGCCCAGGAATATGGAACTATGGGACAGGGTGACAGGTCGGCTGGCTTCCTGGCACATGGGGGCAAAGACCAAGGGACCGTGTGGCTGAGAGACCGGAGAGAGACTTCGCTACCCTGTGGCTGGGAGACCAGGACGCGGAGACCTGGCTGCTGGTTGAGGAAACCAGTGGTTGCATCCTTACTGCTTTCTGGTCCTGGGTGTGGTCACCTATTGAATTCTCTAGTAACCCCTTCCTAGTGAGTGCTGAATGTGAGTTCTGTGGGGCCCTCACAAAGAATGATCAAACCTAGTGTGGACGCAGAGTGGCGTGGAAGGAACGGTTGGGGTTAGACTAGGTAAAGAAGGCTGGACCACGGAGGCTTGTCTGACCCCTGCCTTGTGGGAATCGGGAAGCCTGAGGAGGTCAGATAGGGCCCTCCGTTCTGTATACTGCAACAGTCAGACTGAGGGACGGAGTCTTATTTGAGATAATCAATGGACAGTCAGACTGAGGGATGGGCAATCACAATTAGAACAATGGGTGGACAGTTGGACTGAGGGACGGAGTCACAGGTGGATGGAAGGGCAGATGTGGCTAGATGGTTGGGCAGCTGGCCGCAAGGAGACAGGAACAGATGGACAAATGGAACTTCCCTGTCCAGGCTCTGCTGTGCTTTGGGGTGGGGGGTCTCACACTGTGGAAGAGGAGCGAGATGCTCTTGGTGAAAGCCAGGGCCGCCATGAGCCAGTGGATCTTGAAGACGTTGTACCTGCCAGGTGGGAGGGGAGAGGCGGGGCGTGGGAAAGTGTGAGAGCCTGGCCCAGGCGGGGGTGGGGGTCGGGGTCGGGGTGAGTGAAGGCATTACGTGTTCTTGCAGAGAACGGACACCCAGAAGATGCCGGCGGCCAGGAAGCAGGAGGCCATGACCATGTAGAGCTTGAACAGGGGGATCTCGGAGGCCGACAGGAAGCCCTC